AATCGGGATGGGTGTGTCAGAGGCCATGCGACTGGCACAGGATAGAGCAGGGTTCAGGGCTGTTGTACATAGGGTCGCTGAGTCACAAATGACTCAACGGCACATAACAACAACAGTGATCTTAAACGATCTGACTCAGCCTGATGTCCTCCCCTGGATGCATTCATGTTATGCAGTGTTTAACACTTTTTCAATGTTCTATAGTACTCCACTGTATGAACATAACACAGTTTCTTTACCAATTTGTCTGCTGATGTACACTTGGGGTTTTTTTCCTACCTCTTTGCTATTATAAGTAATGCTGAGATGAACTAGGGTGTGCACATAGCTCACCACTCGAACTTATTTTGCATATAAAGTGAGTCGTGGAATTGCTGCATCAAATTATATTTCTATTTCCTTTTTTCTAAGGAAGTGACAAACTGCTTTCTACAGCAGTTGAAGCATTTTACATTCCAACAACAGTGTATGAGAGTTCCAATCTGCATAGCCTCGCCAACATTTGTTGTTGACTGTCCTGTGTAAATCTGTTGTTATTATTGGTGGAGTGTCCCCAGCAGCTTCCACCTGCATTTTCAGACTCACTTCTCAGAGCAGGATAGAGGCTGCTACAGAATGCTGTGGAGAACGCGGAGGGGGAGGAGTCCTCATACTTAAATCTCAATTGTTCAAAGAGCTTGCACATGAACCCTGAGAGACTTAGTCATCCAAAAAATCCTTTCAAACCCAGCCGCCATAGAGGCAGAATGCTGAATCCGTAGATTTCCAAAGCGGAAACTCCAAGCCAGATGAGACAGAGCTATTAACATCTCGAATATTATGTAACTTTCTGTCTTCTGCATAGACTGCAAGCGCTACACGGGTTCATTACATATTTGTGAATAAACTTGAATGGAAAACGTCTGTGAGCAGAGCTGGCACCTGACAAGTGTCAGCCCCCTCTCAATGGCCATTTTCAATCCTACTACCGACTCTCAATGCTGCATGAAGGTGACTATCCAAGGGAGTCAAGGGGAAAGCCTGTGCTAGAGTTTGGAGCACCTCCCTCTAAGGTTCAAGACACACCCACTCCTCGGCTCTCTCCACAGATACCAGCCCTACCCTCCCGCACCCACCTCCTCCCCGCCCCCGTCTGCACCTTCATCCCAAGGACATCACGATAGAAATGCGCCGTCTGGAAGCGATTTCCCACTTTGAATACAAAGTGCAGCGCCCGGCGACCTGCCATACCTCCCACCGCCACCGGCTCCGTCGTACGTAAAGCGCCGCGGTCCCCGCAAACGAGGCTGCAGACGTCACTGCGCGCGCCGGCGCGCTCATATGATGCAGCGGACGACTACTGGGAAGATGGCGGCGCTGATGGCACGCGCGAGCTGTGCCTGGCGACCTTCTCTGCTCGTGGCCCAGACTTGGGAAGTGGACGCTAGGCGCTGGGTCCGCGCGCTGCGGAGGAGCCCCGTGAGAGTGGTGCTGCCATTCGGACAGGTGTTAGATCGGAAGCCTGGTCCTGGGAAGCAGCCCCGCGGGGCGGCGTTGGGCGCCAATCCCCAGAAACAGCAGAAGGAGCAGCCGGTTCAAGAGCGTTCACATCCTAAACCCATCACCTGGGAAGAGTCGGGGCTTCACTACGACAAAGCTTTTCCTGGGGACAAGAGGCTGAGGTGATTTTCCCCCACCCCTGATAGCTTTTAAGTATTCGCGTTTCCCTCCTGCCTAGGACCTGGCTTTAACTTTATTATGATGGACGGGGTTTCCTTCCAGTATCACCAGCGTATTTTTTCTTATGGGCTGGAGTCAGAGTATCTCCCTAGGAATTCCTTTATTTCTATTTTTGGGAAACTCTTTGCGATTATCAGAACTAAATATGTCTTGTTAAATAAACCAGCCCCCCAAAATCCCATTGCAATTAACTCAGTTCTACTCTTAGCGACCCTGTAAGGGCAGAGCAGAACTGTCAAGAGTTTCCAAGACTGCAAATCTTAAGAAGAGCGAGCTCTGGTGGGTAAGGAGTTGCGCTGCCAACATAAAGGCAGACAGAATCCACTAACTACTCTGTGGGGGAAAGCTGGGCAGTCTCCTCCCATGCGATTTGTTGTTGTTAGGTCTGGTGAGTTTGACAATGTGAACAATAGATCTGAGCCCAGTCCTCTCTTGTGCCTTCCCTCATCATCTCTAACAAACGAGCCCATTGCTGCAGTCATTGTCAATCCATCTCTTTTATGGTCTTCCTCTCATTTGTTAACCTCCACCTTTCTGAGTATAATGTTTCTTCCTGAGGCAATGAAACAAAAATTCTCACCTCTAGACCTATATGTGACATTATATTAGAAGGAGAAAGTATTTATGTTGCGGTCAGGGACCTCTCCAAATAACAATTAAATTATAAGTTAGTCTTGCATACTTTGGGCATGCAGCTCGGAGAGAATATTCCTTGGAGAAGGACATCATGCTTGGAAAGATGAAGAGCTGGTGAAGGAGAGGAAGACCCTCAACTAGTAAATTGACACTGACTGCAGCAGTGGGCTTGAATATGTCAGATTGTGAGGTTGGCACAGGTTAGGATAGAGTTCAGCTCTATTGTTGATAGGGTTGCTATGGGTTGTACTCAACTCCATGGCAAATTAATAATAATAAAAATAACAATAAATAATATCAAAAATAATAACAATATGCTGAAAGTATGAGAGACGAAACTTTGCCTACTAGGAGCACCCTTACAGGGTTTTTTCAAGACATCATGCAATTTACAACCTCTGAAAACCTGCCAGAGGGTCAGCTAGGAGTCAGTTCTGGCTTGATGGCACACAGCAACAACAACAAATCTTTGCAGAAGCAGATTGCTTCCTCGTTCTCCTGTAGAACAGCAGTAGTTTCCAGCTAAGGACCTTTTTGGTGGGCAGCCAGTTTTCAACCATTCTGACACAGGCTGATCTTGATAGCAAGGGTGTTAGTTAATTATCTGTCTTTTCTGTTTCAATTTATAGCAGTGTGATGACAATAGTTAAGTCCAGGCCATTTCGGGAAAAGAAAGGAAAGATCCTGCTGGAGGGGCGCAGGTTGATTGCCGATGCTCTCAAAGCTGGTGCTGTGCCCGATACTTTCTTCTTTAGCCGTCTGGAATACATAAAAGAGCTTCCCATGGATAAGCTGAAAGGTGTCAATCTCATTAAGGTGAAATTTGAGGATATCAAGGACTGGTCTGACCTGGTAACTCCACAAGGAATAATAGGTCAGTGGTTTTATATTGTATTGCTCTGAATTGATGTTAATTGTTGTGGCAAGGCCCACTTTTTGTTAGTTGTAGATAAATGTCTTTCCTTCACCATCTGCAGGCCTAGCATTCTCTGGGCATAACCATGTGTCCTGCCCCAGCGTCAGGGGCTTCCTCATACAGAGACCCTAGTTTGAAAGGATACATTCCACTCTTGGCAGTTCTTTCTTGGTGGTACTCATGTCTCCCCTTCTCAGCTTGATTTCCTCCTCTTTTGTCTCTGCTAGGATAAAAAGTATTAGAGGCCATATCCTTGGGGACTCCCCTTATGTTGCATCAGGCCTATAATGGGACAAAGGGGTGTTGCTTTCCACTGTATTCCTTTTACAATGGTTTGGTTTATCAGTTCAGAGAGCTCATTACGTACTGTTCAGCTTATGTCAGTTATTATGGTGTGCTGTCACATTGGAACTGATCCTCTGTCAGGTTTTCAGACGCAGTTAATCACACATTAGGGGAATGCCCATTTTTCTCCTGAGAGCAGCTGGTGGATTCAAACCGCATACTTATGCGTTAGTGCAACTTCAATCCGTGACACTTGAGACAGATCTTAAATCCTCAGGCCCAGTACCTCATCTCCCATGGTGTTCGTTTGTGACAAAGGAGTTTGCCTAACACTGTTCTCTGTATACTATATATCCTTAAATAGTATACATACACATAGTGTCAGACCTGAGTGTACTTCAGAACACCATCTCATACCTGTTCAACTCTTTTATATGTACTTATAAATACACTGTAAAATTATTGCAAATTCTATATGTAAGAGTATTATAATTAATATGTACTATCTGGTTAGAACCAACTCATAGTTGACCTTCCAGCAGGATTTCAGAGGCAGTAAATTGCACACAGTTGAACCGTCGATTCAAACCACATGTCTTTTGGTTGACAGTGTAACCCTTTACCACTAAGCCACCAGAGTTCCCTATATTTTATAATAGTAGTCTTATATAATACTTGTCTTTTCATGATTGAGTGAGCATGTCCTCTAGGTTCATCCATATTGTAGGATGTTTTATATATTCATTGTTAGTCATGGTCACTTAAGTTATTTTAATCTTTTTCTGTTGTAATACCATGATAAACATGTGTAAACATATATCCATTTGTGTCATAGCTTTTCTTTCTGTACGATACATACTCTTATGGTATCTTTCTTTAAGGAAGCAGCTTACTATTTTCCACAAGAGTTGTGCCATTTATTTATTTATTTATTTTTTAATTTGGGAAAAAAGTTCTTTCATTGTTATGCAGTCTACACACACACACACACACACACACACACACACACTTTACTATGCAGCTCTTATTCTGGACTCTTGTCATGCCAATAATACCTAATTATATATTCCTTTTATACAGTTCTCTCTGTCGTTTGTTTCAATGCCGTGTACATTATTTATCCCTACTTTTCTTAGTTTCCCCCCAACCCCCATGTCAGTCCTGTTTTATAACAGTGGCATTTATGCCATATTTGTCTTTTTGTGACTGAGATATTTCACTCAGCATAATGTCCTCTGTGGTCACCCATTTTGTATAGTATTTCATGAGTTCTTTGTTTTTCAGTGCTGCATACTGCAGAATATTCCATTTTGTAAATATACCACAGCTTCTCTATTCGTTTGTTGATGGGCACTTGGGTTGTTTCCAACTCTTTGCTATTGTGAACAAAGCAGCAATAAACATGGGTGTGCATATATCTGCTTAGGTGGCGGTTATGGTTTCTTTAGGATATATTCCCAGTAGTGGAATTGCTGGATCAAATGGTATTTCTGTTTCCAACTTTTTGAGAAGGCACCATACTGCCTTCCATAGTGGTTGCATCATTTTACACTCCCACAAACAGTGAATAAGGGTTCCAATTTCTGCACAACCTCGCCAGCATTTGTTGTTTGCTGCTCTGTTGAATTTTGCTATTGTTACAAGGGTGAGATGATATCTTATAATTGTTTTGATTTGCATCTCTCTTAGAGCTAGGGATGTTTAACATTTCTTCATGTATTTGTCCAGCATCTGAATGTCGTCTTTGGTGAAGTCAGTTGTGCTTGTGCCATTTTATCATCCCACCAATACTAACCTTAACTTTCATAAAGTGTCCTCTGCATCTTTGACATTATTTGTTGTCTTTTTTAATCATTGCTATTATTCCTGGAGGGAGCACTGCCATCCCACAAATGGGTGGTTTGACTCTACCAGTTGCTTTTAGGGATAAAGATGGGCAATTTCCTATGTAATTTACAGCCTCTGAAAAGTGGCTGGAGGAACAGTTGTGAGTTGATTCCACCTTGATGGCTCATACTCATAACAGCATTATTGCTGAAATGAGATTATAGCTAGTTGTTTTGCATTGCATTTCTGGTGGCCTAGTGGCTAGGGAAATGTGCTTCCAATCCAAAGACAGGCAGTTTAAATCCACCCACTACTCCAAGGGAAAAAGGTGGGCAGTCTCTTCCTGTGCAAATTCATAGCCTCTGAACACCCATTGGGGTATTTGACTCAGTTCTGACTCAGTGGCAGTGACAATGATCTGGAGTATCTCTTCATGTACATGAATGTCCTTAGTGAAACAAACCTTAGGTTTTCTAGTTTAGTTCTTCAGTCTTTAATGTCATATTAAATTAAGAAATGTTTACCAAAAGATTCAACCTTCCATTTCTTTAAACTTTTGACCAAACTATTTAACAAATAATAAGTAAATGAAAAGGCAGGTTATTCTACATGCTCACAACAGACAAAACGAATTCTTATGTTATTTTCTCAGGGATTTTCACCAAACCTGACCACGTGAAGATGACATACCCAGAAAACCAGCTTCACCATACACTGCCCTTGCTGTTGATTTGTGACAATCTCCGAGACCCTGGGAACCTGGGGACGATTCTGCGGTCTGCTGCTGCGGCGGGTTGCAGCAAAGTATTACTGACTAAAGGTGAGAGCGCCTGCCACTGGGCGGATGGATGGCCATTTCTTCTTAGTGAGCAAGGACTCCTGGCAGACACCTCTTAGATATTATTCTGTTCCATACTAACTGTAGTTCAGTGAATGAATTATTTGTAAAGTGGAAATAATACTGACATTGACCTTGTAGGATTATTTTCATCATTAAGTGAGATGATTCATGTAAAGTACTTGGCAATATGATAGACACATGAGAATTGAGGAAACAAAAGTATTTGGGTAAGTTATTAAGGAATTGTAAATGAATCAAGGAAAAAGTGCTAGATTTCAGTTTTAACACTTCGTTTCAGTTCTCTAATGTAAGACCTTGAGTTCCCAGATTGTGAGACTTTCTTCCCTCTTGGTCCTCTGTGACCCCTGGGAAAGGGATGGTGTCAACAGTGTGATTAAAAATCACCCCACTTTCCATTTAGTCCCAGGGTGGTTTACACCCTCACCAATTTACCCTGCTGCACTTGTGTCTCCTCTCATCATAAATGGAGTTAATGGGCTTGATTCTGAACAGACTTTATTTAACAGTGAAGAGAGTGCCTATTACAGAAGGGTGAGCGGGAGCATATCACCAGATACTCTGAAGTTACTAAAACTTGTCAACGAAACCTCAAGGCAAAAACTTCTTTTTTACTGTCCTTTAATTAAGATCAGTCATGTTCTCCTGGATGTTATTCCACTTTGTGGAAGGATTTTCTGTTAATCTGTTCATACTGTTTTTACCTCAGTTGCTACCAATATTGTAGCCCCTGTTTCAGTATTGTCCCACTGCACCCATGCTTTGTGTATAGCACCTGGCACATAGGCATACTCAGCATTGGAGGTATGAATGAACTCTGGGATTTCAGCACTGATATAAGTTAAATCATAGAGTTAGAACCTTTGAACGTTGCCTTCAGTCAAGCCAATAGTCTCAGCTCTCAAAAAATGCTATCATCCCTTTTGTTTTATGTCTTGTATCCAGAATTGTCCTGACTTACTCCATAGCTTCCTAGGCTGAAATGGTTTGTTCAGTCTTGATTTGATGCTCTGTCTTTTCTAGGTTGTGTGGATGCCTGGGAGCCCAAAGTGCTGCGGGCAGGTATGGGGGCGCATTTCCAGGTGCCGATTATCAACAATCTGGAGTGGAAAGCAGTACGCAGTCACCTGCCAGATGACACCCGGGTCTTCGTGGCTGACAACTGTGGCCATTATGTGCAGGCTCAGATGTCTGATAAAGCCAGTGACCACAGCTGGTTATGTGACAAACGATTCCTCAAATTTCACAAGTATGAGGAGGATCTAGAAACTGGGGGCAAGACTGAATGGCTTCCTAGCCCTGATGTGCAGAGCTATGAGCAGGACTGGACGGACACGCCGGCAGCTGTGGTGGTCGGCGGGGAGACCCACGGGGTGAGCGTGGAGTCCTTGGAGCTGGCTGAGAGCACCGGGGGTAAGAGGCTGCTCATCCCTGTTGTGCCAGGCGTGGACAGCCTGAACTCGGCCATGGCGGCCAGCATCTTGCTTTTTGAAGGGAAAAGACAACTGCGGGTAAAGGAGGAACACCTGCGCAGGGGCAGGAGCTATTGAGAGTGGGCGTGGACCATTTCTGTCAGTCTGAGGGCAGCTCTTGCTTCTCCCACCTCCAGAAACGGTATTAGGTCCTGATAGGATGTGTATACCTGGAGAGTAGTGTGTGCATAGTGGAAGCTTGTTCCTTCTCTGGGCTTCCCAGGCCATATTCAGGAGGTAAGGAGTTGGCATTGTGCCCATATGGAGCTACTGGAAAAATAAATCCTGTGAATTTCAGCTTATTCTCAAATGTGACAAAAGTCAAGGTTCTTCCCTAGGTCTCTCATCTCCCTGCCAAGTTTTTATGGTCACTGTTTTTATACTGATCAAGTCATTCTCTTTTTTTCTTTTTAATGTGTTATCACAAATGGTTTAGCCACATGGCCTGTATGCACATTATAAGTTTTAAACAGTTGTCCACCATGAAGCATATTCATGCCCACAAAGTCCTGAAGCATCTCCTTGGCTGGAGGACCATTCCCCAAACACCTGTGAGTGTTCGTCAGGCCTCACTTTGTCATTTGCGCACAGCCAATAAGGCTGTGGTGCATGTGGCCCAGTAATTCACCCTCATTGGTCAGTGGGATGCACCCTCCCGCGCAGTGTACACAGACCCAGCAGACTGCAGTATAGGGGGTTCTATGCAAGCATTGCCCAAGGGTCTCAGTGCTAGTGCTTTAGTCGCTGAATGAGTGACAAGGATGCTGCTAAGACAAGACAAAAAAGAGCCACTGACAGTGCCCTACAGGCACTAAGTTTTTTTGACTTAGATATGCCAATCTTCAATTATTTGTATGTTTAAGCTCTTTAAGTCAACAGCCACTGTTTATGTAGGTTAGAATTTTTCTCCTTTTAGATGATCAGAAGTAGCGTAATTCAGTGGGTGGTGTCATGCCCTTGTGTCAGCCCCACAGCTGTCTTTCGGAGGACTCCTCATGGAGAGGAGGCTGTGGTCAGGTGCCGTCATGTTGATTGAGTCATTGCGGGTCTGTAAACAGTAGGTCTGCACCTGTGCCATCCCCAGGGTCTGTCATGCTCAAGCCCACTGTGGCAGTTCCTATGCCGGGCCATGCTGAGACGTTTCCTCTACTTTGCTGACCTTGTCTAAACCGATGTCTCTCCATAAGGACTGGTTCCTCCTGAGAAGATGCCCAAAGGGAGAGGAAGATTCACCATCCTCACCTCTAAGAAAATGGGATTCTTAAATCTTCAGCTCACTCTTGCATCCATCAGGAGAGCTGTATGCTGTTTCTAGCTGCAGTGCTAGTCCTGCTTCATAGCATCTTAGTTAAAATAGTGACTTAATTACTTACTTTTAATTGCCACATCTGCATAAAGGAGGGAGTATTTTGGAATGTGCCAGTACCGTGGATGCCACGTGAGCTGAGACCTCAGCCACCCCTGGGCCGGGTGAGTGGTGAAGCTACGAGGATGCGAGGTTGCAGCTCGGGCCCCCGGTGCTGGAGTAATACTTGGTTTCTTCGCACAGCACTGCTTCAGGGCACTGCTGCTCTTCCCACAAAGCCCAGGAGCCAGGGCACGCTGGACCTTTACCTGTGACCTGCCTGGAGATAGAGGAAGGTGCCCATTTGAAAGTGACTGTGGGAAGTGGGTGGGTGGATGGGACTGGAGCATGTGACTCCTTTGAAACACTTCTACAACTGTAAAGAATAGGGTTGAGTGGGAAAACAGGAAGTGTGGTTTGACCACATTCCTTCTGAAAAGGTGGATCTTGTTGTGGTTGGAATCCTTCAACTGCTCATTCCATGAGAGCCCAGTGAGTTGCCCAGGCATGCCAGAGGAAAACATTTAAAAAAAAAAAAGTTAAACTTTCTATCTCAGGACCAACTGATCAGGTATGAGGCGTGCCCCAAATGACAGAATGGAATTGCTTTGGCATGTTTGAGGGGAGAAATGTTGGCAAGAACAGGGCCTGGCCTGGCCTGTGCCCATCCTGGACCCCTCCTCTGATGTGGGCCCCATACAGATGTCTGATGCAAGTGGCAGTGCTGGCTGGTGACTGCTGGAAAGGGCTTTGATGTTGCTCAGCTTTTCCTGAACTTCAGCTGTGGGTTCAGAAAGGAACCTTGTTGGGGAGTTCTGGTGGCCTAGTGGCAAGAAGCTGCACTGCCATACCAGAGGCTCACAGTTCAAATCCACCAGATGCTCTGCTGGGGAAGGAGGGACAATCTCCTCCTGTACCAGTCAGATGTGATTTGACGGTACACACAAATAATAAAATAAAAATAAAAAAATTAAAAAAAAAGAAAGGAACCTTGTTGACAGAGTAGTTAAGTATTGGCTGCTAATCAGTGGTTCAGACCCACCAGTTTTCAAACTCCATGGGAGAAACGACCCAGTAGTCTGCTCAGATAAAGAGGATAGGCTAAACAATATGAAACGGTTCGGCCAGGTCCTCAGGACTGCTGTCAGCCATGCACACAGTAACAGCTGGGAATCTACGCTCTTCGGTATTTCTTGAGCCCCTTGACCTTAGCTAGCTTTTAGAAAGTAGATCCCAGGTCTTACATTGTACTACTTCCCAGAAAGGCCACAGGGAGCTTGCTCAGCAAACCTAACAAGTTGACATAACTGAAAGGAACACAGTTGTACCAGCAGCAAAGTATGGAAGGATGCTGAGAGATGGGACTTCTGGCTCCTATTCAGTCTCCTGCAGCACCTTACAGAAATGTTCTTTAGGGGACCTACTCACACCCGCTGCCACCGAGTCTATTCTGACTCAGTGACCCTGTGATAGCAAGGCTGTGAGTCAGGGATGAAACTGCCCATCTCTCTCGGGAGCTGCTGGTCGGTTAAAAGTTGCTGACTTTGGTTATAAGTACAATATGAAATGCTACCAGGACAACTTTAAGGGAACAGAAGTCCCCAGACATCACCAGCATGAAACCAGTCTCCTACCTTGGGCTAATGCTCCTGCTGATGGTGGTAATAAAATTTAAAATAGAAATAAAGACCTTTACCTTATCCTTGTTTGGAAAAACAAAGCAATGCAAAATACCAAACATGGCAAATAATTTTAAGCTCATTGTTATTTGTGAGAATAATTTACCCAGGAAAGAGAGGAGGGTGAGGAGGCAAATTTTGGTTGCTTTGAAATGGCCATAGAGGAAGCCACTGGTGATTAATGGTTTGAAATATTGATAAAATTTGAGTGTTCTTTTGCTGAGATATAATGGGAAGTCACTGTCTTGAATTCTTCACAGTTTGAGGCCAGCATTTGTTCTGCTGCAATTTCCCTCGAAAAAAAATAAAAACTGAGCAGTAAATGACAGGGAAAACACCCTGCTTGGCAGAAAGATAAACATTGTCAGAAGGTTGGCCAGGCTCTGCGTTTTGCCTTTGTGTGGCGGCAGTCCTGCAGTAGCGACTTCTGCCACAAGGTGGCAGGCCATGTCTCTCAAACCAGTCCCAGAGCTACAGGGAAGAGTTGGCGGCTTTGATTCCGCTCCCCTCTGGATTTAAATTGTTGGAAAGAAGGATGAAGTCAAATGTCCCACTACCTAAAGAGAGAATTTGCAAACCCTCTGTGACACTGGCTTTCTGGAATTGGAGAATCACTGTGGGGTCACACATACCTTGATGTTAGAATGAACCTAAGGTACCCAAGGACACTGGGAACAAACACTAAGAAGGAAGAGTAGAAAGAAGGGGCCCTGGTAGATAGAAGCTAGCACAGCTTTCCCCCTCAAACGAGAAGCAGTGTGGGCAACGGCTTGTGGCCTGATGTGCCTGGAACTCACTGCAGCTTGTCAGCTGCTGGGGCCGGGACAGAAGACCCCAGCTCCTCTCCCCCAGCTATAGCTGCTGCTCCTGGTTGGAATCCTGGTACAGCCTCTTCCTGGAAGGTTCTGTGGCTCCCCTTCGGTTCTCCTCTTGGCCAAGCCATTTGCAGAAGCTTATAATTTTGTGGGGTTTTTTTAAAGTAAAAATGATCTCTATAACTGTCATTGCAATAGAGTTGGAATCTTCTTTGCTGATGCACCTGTGGGTTTCCATGGCTGTAAATCTCATGAGATCACTCCTCTTGCTTCTTCAGAGCGGCTGTGGATTCTAACCCCCAGAGAGGCCTCCGGGTCAGCAGTGCAACTCTGGGTGCACCACTGTGCCCCCTAGGATTGTACTACCTCTAATCATTCATAATTGCACAAAGAATACGAAGAAGCCAAATTAGTAAAAGAACTGCTCGACAACTTCAAAAGGTCAACTTGGACACCCTTTAAAGGTCTCAGAATTAGGGAACATTTGGGCCCTGCAGCCTGGGTTATGCCAGAAAGCCTCAGAGCACAGGTGTTCGTGCTTAGTGACCAAGGAGGACTGCAAAATTCAAACATATCGATGGTGCCCTCAAACCAAAGCCACTGCAGACTCACCAAGATCATGTAAAACTGTCCCCAAGGGGCTTCCAAGACAGCCTTTAGAGAAGCTCCTCTATCTTCCACTCAGCATGAGGAGTTCCCATTTGAAGCTTCAGTGTTGGTCATGACTAATGTTGCTGCTGCTACAAAAAGCTAGAGGGGAACAGAGGCTGAGCCTGACGGCTGTAGGGGGTCCCACCTCCCAGCCTCTCGCACCTTTGCTGGGAAGGGGGCACGTGGACTAGGCAGGAGTGACTCAGGGCTGGGTGAGGACTTCAGGGTCCAGAGCATGTGTCTCCTCCTGTATCCTGATTCTATCAGGGTGGGTGGCTTAGTGAGCCACCAGGACCCAGAATTCTATACTTGTGGCTACGACCTCTGCCTCATGAAAGACACAGACTTTGCTAAGTTAGCATGTTAACACGGGGCCACTGACTTGGTCCTGACTCGCAATGACTCTCCACTGGGTTTTCAAGACTGTCGGTCTTCACAGGACTGTGCTGCCCATTTTCCACCCGAGGCACACCTGGGGATCTGAATCACCTCCCTTTTAGTCAGCAGTGCAACACACTGTGCCATCAGTTCCTGAGCACATTTTTTAGTTGCTCTGCAGTTGGTTCCAACTCATGGTGACTTCATACGCACAGCACAACCCATAGAAGTTTTAAGTCTGTGACCTTTCAGACGCAGATTGCCAGGCTGTACTTCCAAGGTACCCCTTCCTTGGTGGGTTTGAACTACCAACCTTTTGGCTAAGATGCAGAGTTCAACTACTAGTACCTCCCATAAGGACTCCCAGTTAGAACATTCAATGGGAATCCAATAATTTCTCAATTTTACCTAACTCTAATAGTGATTTCCTGACTTGGGAGAAATTCCAAAATGTCAAAGTGGTGGCATACATACGCCTTAAAAAAAAATAAATCCATGCTTTTCACGCTTTTCTCCATGTGTTCATGTATAAGGCATGCCAAGATGTCCTTATGTTCCTTCAGAGTGAGAAACCCTGACTTGGCTCAAAGGTCCATAAAGCAGACCCAATAGAAAGTATCTTACACACAGCCTTTTGTTTCCTAGAAAATATTTCACCTTCTCACACACTCACCATTCATTAGCACTGACAATGACGCCAACAGGCAGCAGCCATTTGTCCCTGAAGAATTTTCCCACGGCCCTGGTTGGAAGGAAGCACGATAAAGTTGTGTCTCTCAGGAGATCAGCAATAACGAAGGCCAAGGGCTCACTTTATATAGTGGCTCCAGGGCAGACTTGCAAGATGGCAGGGCTGACTTGAGAGAACCAGGGGACCCCTCCTGGACATCCTCTACCTTGTGTGCAGGCTGCCTCACAACCTGCCCCCACACGTGTTCCAGGCCTACAGGGGATGGTGATGCCGTGAGCATACCTGTGCCTGTGTGATGGGTGGCGACTGGGTCAGAGGCCCCTCAAGTCCCTTCGGTGCTACGAGTCCATGAACAGAGCAGCTCTACTTGCAAACACCTGCACTTTTTTTTCTGTCCTGAAGCTAAACGGGAACAACTTTTTATTAGTTCCCGGGGCATATCCTGCCATGCCTTGATATTGTTGCAGACTTCCAATAAGACAGCAGGAGGGAAGAACAGCTTTTTAGTTCTTTAATTAGACAACAGGAAAAAACAAAGTCTGGAAAACCAAGAACTACCACCTGGAGCTTGGCTGATGGCAAAAAGTGGCGCTGGCTCGCTAGGCTCCGTGCGAACTGCTCGTTCCATGGTCTCGAGAGGACAGAACGAGGACTCGCTATCACTGGCAGCCAGGTCACTGGGGAGTGGGGGCAGCTGTGCTCTGTGCGCCCCTCACCCCCCCTTTACATTGTTCGCTGCACACACTAATCCCAAACACACACCCTTTATTATTTTTCTTAAGCAGATCTTTATTGTTTGGGACAGTTAAGAAAAATCTTATCTCTGCCGTGAAAATGGAGAGAATGAGTTCTGGAAGTCACTGTGAGGAGAAACTCGGGACCCCAGGGCGGCACTTTTACAGCCACCTCCCACCTGAAGGGCCTGGTTTCCCCGGCTGCTGGCGGAAGCCCTTGAACATGTCACCGCTGGTGTTTTAAGCTGCTTCCAATTAGCGACAAGCATTTGTAGGTATTTCAGAGCCGCTTAGTGCGAATTACACATGCCACCCACTTGGTTTGCATCAATAACCTCTCTCTCGATACTGAGAAAGGGGTTTTTAACTAGTATTGGTGGAGAGATCCTCGCCTTTGTCTGCCCTGCAAACAGCCACCACAGAAAGCTAAAGCACCTTGTTAAGTCTGCCTGACGTCTTAAGCTAACCTATGTGCCCACTCTCAAAGGGGTCCTCTCAAAGGGTGTTCAGGATCTGTCCAGCTGACATTAGTGGCAGGTAGTTCAGAGGTAGGCCTGGATAGGCTACCAAGTGTCAGCAATGACCTTGACTCAGAGACAGCAATGACTTAGAGCAGCTCCTCACTGGACTTGGCTGCTTCTGCCTTAGAAGGTAAGCAGCTACTAAGGGCAATCTGGCTGGAGGGCCTGACAGATCCTGCCCACCTTCTCGCAAAGTCAACCTCACCTTGTGTCCTTGGCCCACAGCCCAAGGGAAACACTGGCAGAGTTCTCAGAAGCCCCTTACTCTAGGTCAGAGCTAGATTTAGAGGCTGCAGAGTATTGCCCCATTCTTCACAACAAGTACATGTGATTCTATTTGTTCTCCCAAACACATCACTCAGGCTTTGGAGCACTCAAGCTCCCCCACAGGGAGCAAAGAGCATGAGTGTCCGCCATGATAACCCAGCCTCTGGCAAGGGCCAGATCAAACCAGGAGTGGTGGCCAGAGTTCTGGCTGGGATCTGCCTCTTGGGCTCTGATCCAAAGAACATCACCAGAACAGACAACCAACTATGTTAGGTCACAGGTTTCATGCAAATCATGGCACACAGCTGCTGGGTGATCCAATGAGAGTCAGACCTCTGTGTCCCAGCTCTAAAAGAGCACAGCTCCACAGCTAAAATGAAGCTCTCAAGTGGGTTTTGATTAAGGGCAGAAAAGCCTGTTTGGCTGGTAAAGTCCGAGATGCCTTCTTTTCTTTACTAGGTGACTGTATTTCAGGCTGGCAACACCCAGTCACAGTCTAGTTACCATCTAACTCTGTACCTCTGAACTACAAAGAAACAATCCAATGCAGCAAGAAACAACAGTGTCAACCATGTGCCAGGGGAAGGTGGCAGCTGAGTTTTCAAGTAAGTGGTGTTGGTTGGCAGGTGCTGTCAGGGACGTTAAGGGTAAGAGGCCAGGAATGGGTTACCGACCCAGACGCCTGACTGAGATGGGCCTCTAGCCCAAGACCCACTGCCATCAAGTCGATTCCAAACCACAGAAACCGTGTAAGAGAGAGACCTGGCCCATAGGGTGTCCCAGGTTGTAAATCTTTATAGAAGCAAATGCCATCTCTCTCATGGGGGATCTGGTGGGTTTGAACGTTTGAACAGCCTATCTTTCAGGGAGCAGCTGAAAGATGCTTTAACCTCACAAGTGCCACAAGGACTCTGCCCCTGCATGTTCCTGGGCCAAGGCCTCCCAGCCGAATTCCTAAGAACAGCTTGTGGTCAGTTTTCAGCTTCAAATAAGGGACTTCTCTACCCTGGGTCTAGCAAAGGGGACCCAGAATCTACTATGTATTGACAAACCCTCTGCCCTCACGCTCACTCTTCTGCAGGGTCCCAGAGCAAAGCTGAGCTTCTGGTAAGTTCTTGCCCCTCTTTAGTTCTGCTATGAAAAAGAAACAAGAATGATGGGGGTAACCACAGGTGGACCAAACATCTCCAGAGAGCCCCAGGGACCCCCAGGCACAGCACTGTGCTCAGAGACTGGTGCGAGGCTGGGGTGCTCCTCTGCAAATGTGGGACCAAGTTTCTTGGGACAATGTCCAACGGGAAGAACAAAATTCCCTGATAGCAGGGGTTGTTCACATGAGAAGACAGAATGGGGAAGGTCAAGATCAAGGGGAGGATGATATATATGGAAAGAACAAGAAGTTCTTATCATGTAGTAGGAGCTCAATTAAGCAATTACTATATGAAGCATTACCTTAGCTACTCTTTTCTCATCAGAAAAAAAAACCAACCCAACAAAACCCCAAAACAATAAAACCAAACACACGAGCTTCCTTTAAGACATAGAGCTGTCCTGCCTGAGGACCCACTGGCAAACTGCTGTTTTTTTCTACAAACGAGAGAGTAAGTTACTCAGAAAGCGATGGTCTCACCAACAGTTTGAAGCTGAGGCCCAGTGAGGACGTGGCCTTTTTTTCTATTCTACCTGCATGGACAGGTATCAGTGAGCAGTTCCCTTCTGGGGGTCTCAGGCTGGGTGTGGGTGTGCTGACATGAAAAGCTGGAAAGAAGCAGGAACTGAGCCCCCTCCTGGTCCCTTGATGCTGACTCTGGAGAAGAACCCCATGGTGCACATTTCACCTTAAGTGAGTGACCCTTACACAGAGTGATGCTGTCCCAGTTCAGGCTGGGCCATGCCATCCCCTTGAGTCCTAAGTAGAGTCTCAAACATGGCTCTTCGGCTGCTGACAGGGCGTGTGCACCCCAGGGTGCTGGGAGTTAATGCAGAATACAAGGCACCACAGAGAGAGGCTGGACGCTTGGGTTGTACGACTCAGGACATGTCGGAAAAGTCCAAGGGCGGAGAGAGGGGAGGGAAGGAGGAGGAGAAGACTGCCTTTTAAATAATGTCTCATGAGGCCAGAGCCCACTATATGGGCTCTGGTTTCAGCTTTTCTGCTAGGAAGTCATTCACAAAGGCCTCCACGATGGCGGGGGTGATCTCTTCCACATCCATCACGTACTTGGCTCGGGCTGACATGTCCAGGATCGTGAGCAGAGGGGCTGCCTCTGGCAAGTTGGTGTAATCTCGCAGGGAGTCAGTCATGTCGTCCTGGAAGTCACCAGAAGGGAGAGAAGAAGCCCAAAATCAGGAAAGAAGATCCAGAAGCTGCCTGGACCCAGGTTCCCCAGACGGCATGGGAATGAAATCTCTCGAAGCCTTGAGGAGCAGGTTCTCATCAAGGAAGGAGCAGTCAACCTGCATTCCTTTCTAAGGGTGCTGGGGCAGTCCCTAACATTCTCCCTCTGCGCTGCCCCATAACTTGCTGAGGTGTTTTTTTTTTTGTTTTTAAATACTCTGTTGCTTATCTTTGCAGTTCACTGTCAATTATTTGCAGCTCCAGTAGGAGTCATCGGTGGTCACTAGGGACCTCAGATTCTGGAATGATTTCAAATGGAAACAGCTCACTGCCCCTTTTGGTTTCAGGGATGGTGGGTTGCACAGACTCCCATCTGCAAAGAAACTGGTGCTCTTAAATTTGTTGATGTTTTTCTATCTGGGAAGGGAGCTGACCCTTTTCCATACATTCCCTATGGCCGATCAGGTGAACCAGATTGCGCCTCATCCAAGTAGGAAGGCAAACGAACACAACAACAGAGACCAGAGAAAGAATTTTAAGGTCACAACTATCTGAAATGGCTTTTTTCACATTTGTAGACCACAAGGTGGCACGTCATGGAAGACGGACTCTATACCTCCAACTCACTATATTCTAAACAAAAGAGAAAAATCTGAGTTACAGTTACCTGCACAGAATGTGCTCAGGGTCTCAAATGGTCCTGGACAGAAAATAAGAAATATACACCCCACTGATTTCTGGGACCAAAACATTCTTTTTTCAAGAGGCCAAATCTTCAGGAAGATCCTTGGCCATGGTGGTTTTTTTTCCCTTTGCAGAAACAGGACGCATTTCTCAGCAATGCTGGGTGATTCAACCTTTCTGGCATTATCCAGCCAATTAAAAACGCTTTCAACATAAACAGGGGTAAGACACCTGGACAAAAATAGTTTTAATTCCCACAGGAAGACCTCGATCAAGTCAAGGACCATGCTACCTTCCCTGCCCACAGTGCAAACCACAGAGAGGAGGAATGTCAGCTTCGGTTAAGACTTCAAAACAAGAGTCCACCCTCACAGTCCTGGGTGGAGTGAAAGGCCACCACTGGGGTCCTGGGATCCAGCTCCCTGTACCCAGCCCCTTCCCGTGTTTCTGCTTCTGAGCACAAGGACTGGGAAGTAGACACTGGATGGAGAGAGCTGTCAAGATTGAGTCGGGTGAAGCACACAGAGGGACAGCCAGGTGGAGCACTAGAGCAGCGCAAGACTCCTATCTCCATATCCTTGTACAACTGCCTGGTCCAGAGTCCTTCCTTCTCTTTCTTCCTGTCCCCGCCAGGACTGAGGGGGACGCATTTGCAGAAAGACATGGACGAGGGGGTTGGGGCATAGCTTCTAAAATCTCATTGGCCTCATATTCAGTCCTTTCTCTGCCACCTACTCTATCTTTGGTTCCAAATCACAGTCTCCTTTCCCTGCAGATGGATTTAACGATGCTTCCTGACACACGGGGTAGACAAGAGGAGTCTGCTAGCAAGCGGTAGGAGTCTGGTCTCCACAGCCTTGATTAAGCCCCTCGCCCTCTTGGCGCCTTGCTGTGGTCTGACATAGAGCAGTCCTCCCGGTTCCTGCCCAGAAAAGGGCGCACAGACGAGAATGCAGGTGAAGTATGGCGCCTGGTCCCAAGCCGACCTGTCAGGGCCCCCTTTTCTGCTACATTTCTAAAGCGGTTGCTGGACCACTGCACCCCCCTCCACGCCTAGCCCTTTCTGTTCTGCACCCATCTTTCCTCTCTGGCTATGGATGAATGCATTCCCGAACTCCAAGTGCGCTTTGTGCCGGGTGGCCCTGAGGCAGGGCCTTGTGAACCTCTTTGTTCCCTCCACTCTGGGGCCTCGAGGGTGACTGCGAGGGGCCCAGCAGGGCTTAGCAGGGGCAGCTATTGAGGTCACGATGAATGGGTGATTCAGGGTGTTTGGCGGCGCTGCGCCATCCCCTCCACACCTCTCCTGGGAGCCAAACATGGCGTGAAATGAGCAGGGGCCTCTGACCACCCGGAGGTGCGGGCAGGCGAGGAGAGGGCAGAGCGGCTTAAAAAACGAGCTCTTGTCAATCTCTGGCTTATGTAGAGGGGGCACCCAAATGGG